TTTTAAAAACCAGCTGCTAATAGTTTAAATAATCATAACTTTTGGCTTAAATTTATATCAGTGATGATGAATAAAGTGTGGGTTGGGGAGGAACAAATAAGATTAGGAAACACTTCTGTTGTTTTCCTCTCTGACTTAGGTGAATAATACACAGATAAATAAAGTGGTGTATTTGGCATGTGAAGGAAGACAATGTCTAGTATAAATAGTCACTGCCAGCATGAAGTTCAGTTCAGTCACTCGGTCGTGTCCAACTCTGCGACCCCATAGACTGCAGCACACCAGTCTTCCCTGTCCATGACAAATAGAAAATGACACATTCTGTGGAAAAAGAGAGGAAAAGAGTTGTGGGGATTAAGAGGATGGAAATGATCTTTTCCATTTATGCTGCTCACGTAGAGGTTTGTAGAGGAGGTGAGATTTGGATGAGGGTGAGTGGTTTGGATCCGATTGGGAAAAGATGTGCTAAGCTGATGAAACATTATGATTAAAGACATGGAAGACAGATCAAATAATTCAGTGTGACTTCAGAACAGATTATTTAATGGAAAGTTAATGTGAGTCTGATTCATTTAGATTTTGTTTTACAGGCCAGGGTTTGGTAAGCTGTGATCTGGCCCAGGCTCTTTTCTGTAAATACTTCTGCTGTAGCACAAGTGTGCTCAATTATTTACATATTGCCTATGGCTGTGTTGTACCACAATGGCAGAGTTCAGTCATCCAGCAGAGACCATATTGCCCTCAAAGCCTAAGGAATTTTCTCTAAAAGCCTAGATAGTAAATATTTGCTAAGTCCCGCTTTAGACCATAGTTCTGATCCAGTCAAGGGACTGATCCAGTCAAGGGACTGGCACAGAAAGGCTTTCAGGAGAGTTTGTCAGATGGTCCTTGTTGGAGGGGATGGGTGATGGGGAGGCTTATCAGGTTTTTGAATTAGTCTAGTCCAGTGTCTTCTAGTGGCAGTGGAGAGGCTTTAAATTCTAAATAGATTAAGTAGATGGAATCAATGGGTTATGGAGAAAGATTTGATGAGAGAGGCCATGGAAAGGGAAGAGGCAGGGCTGAATAAAGGATTTTCAACTTGAGTGACTGTATGGTTGATGGTGCCACAGAAACAGGGAATGCAGAAGGACAAATGCTTGTAAAAGTTTCAGTGACCTGTCTGAGATAGAACACTGACGTGTCTGGTAGAGGACTCAGTATGACCACATAAGGTGACAACTTTATGGTTTTTGCAGGACTCAGGAATATTTACCACAGTGAACTGTGGAAAGTTTTATCTTATTCTTCACATTTAAATGTATCAAGTTCCTATGAGCATTATTTTTATGACTGTTTTGGGCATTTTTTAAAAAGTTTGACCTTTTGAGTTGATGTGACCAACGTCATTTTAAGTAGAAAAACTTTGTTGCCCTTTGAAAAGTTTTAAATCCGTTCAAAAAAACTTTTTAAAAGTACTTCAACACAGAAATAGCAGTGCTACTAGAATGAAGTGAGAAAGTTTCAACAACCTTAAATTTTTATTCAAAGTCAAATCCTTATTTGAATTATGTGAAGAGAATTTTTGCCTTTTACATTTTGATCTATAGGAATTGCTTTTTGTTATAAAGGTAATGCCTACTTATAAAATTGTTAAATTATCAGAGTACAAGTTGCCCACAACTCCTCCTTTTCAAGCTGTTGACTTTTGCTAATAGTTTGAGATATACCGTGGAGATATTAAGTCCTTCGCTTGTGTTAAAAAGACAAAACAATCATTTGCCAACTGTACCTTTATAACTTCAAATACATGTTATTTGTTGTTGTTTAGTTTCTAAGTTGTGTCTGACTCTTTTGCAACTCCATGGACTGTAGCCTGCCAGGCTCCTCCATCCATGGAATTTCCCAGGCAAGAATATTGAAGTGGATTGCTGTGGCCTCCTCCAGGGGATCTTGCCAACCCAGGGATAAAACCCATGTTTCCTGCATTGATAGGCAGATTCTTTACCTTTGAGCCACCGGGAAAGCTTGAATACATGATGCTACCTGCAAAATATCTGAATCAGTTTGGTCCAAGTCTCCAATCACATGATTCTCTGACATAAAGAGCTCTTTTTATCCATCTCTCCAGATAATTTATGGGGTCCTGTACCTCAGAGGGTTTGTTTTATTTGCCTTACCTCTCAGGGCTTAGTTACCCTGGTAACTGGTCTTATAAAGCTAGTTTTATTTCCTAATTTTCAGTATTTGAAAAAGAAAATTATACCAGCAACTATTAGTCTGGAGGAAAATACCCTGTTAGAAAAGATAGGGTTATCCTACAAGGCAGAAATCTAAAGTGGTCATACTTATGAAATCAGTTGTACTTATTTATAAGAAAAAGAGAAATGATATATTTATATAAATATTTTGTGAAGTCAGATTAATTCAGTTTTTCAAATAAACATGGAGGGGAGTTGGCTTGAGGTTTTATTCAGAACAAATTTATTCTGATTTAAAATTTATCTTAAAATGTGTATTTGGCTGAAAATAAAATTATTTAAAAGTACAGGCTTGTGTAAATTTAAAAGTAAGTTTTTGTCCTACCTCTCATTTCTTCAGGTTCCTTTCCTATAGTAAAAAAAATGTTAATTTTGTTAACTTTTTTTAAAGATTATTGTGGTGTTAATTTTTAATTTTTGTAACAATAGCTTGATGAGATATAAGCACTACTTTCCCCATCATTTTATGCTTAAAGAAAGAATCATAAAGAGTTTGTTACTAACTTTCCTATGGTTACTCAGATAGCAAGTGATAGAGCTGGAATTAGAATTAGAAACCCATCTGTTAGACTTCAGATTGTGTGAACTGAATCACTTTATGATTATATTATTAACAGTATTAAAAATTTTCTACCCATTGATCCTAAAAGAAAGACAAAATTATATGTCAAATATGTTTGTGTGTGTGTGTGTGTGTGTGTATATATATACACACACATGTGTGTGTGTATATATATAGATAGATATGTTTTAATTTTGAAGTTTTTTGTAACATAAAAAACAATGATAAAATTTAAATTCTCTAGGACAATTTAGAATGAAAAAAAATGGTGTAGCTCTCTGAATTCAACTTTACTTTTACTAAGTTTTAAAAATTGCCTAGGCATAATTGCTAAATTTAGTTTCACATTAGCAACATTTCAATCTTCTTTAAAAAAAAAAAAAGATTCAGAAGTGGACTATCTGGTGGGAGTGAGTATGTCAAGTAATTTTTATTTGTAAAGCCTGGTTCACCATGAAAGGGAAAGAGGAACAGAGGGTAGGCAGCTTCCTTTTTAAAGCCCAGGACTTGGAGGTTGTATGAACACACCAGTTCCACTCACATTCCACTGGACAGACTTGGTCATGTGTAATGGTCAGGCTTCAGAGTAGTCTTTAGCCATGTGCCCAATTAACATATGGGGATTCCATTATTAAAATAAAGGCACAGGAGTGTAGATGGAAGTCAGCATCTCTTCTACACGTGTGTTCTTGCTAAAGTAATTTTTAAAAGTTTCATTGGATTTTTGCTTCTATAGATATGAGAAATGGTGTTTTATTTTGATGAAATAAATCATGTATAGGCATGTGTGCTCAGTCATGTCCAACTCTTTGCGACCTCATGGACTGTAGCCAGCTAGGCTCTTCTGTCCATGGAATTTTCCAGGCAAGAACATGAGTGGATTGCCATTTCCTTCTTCAGGGAATCTTCCTGACCCAGAGACTGAACCCATGTTTCCTGCATCACCTGCATTGGCAGACAGATTCTTTACCAGCTGAACCATGGTGGGAAGCCCAAATTCATGTACAGAAAGTTAATAAATGTTGCCTGATACATACTACTATGTTAGCATATTAAAAAACTCCTCAAGAGCAAGTCTGGCAAAGTGTGAGGAACAGCCTCCTTACTCCCCAATTCAAATATCATAGCAGGGGCTTCCTTAGTGGTCCAGTGGTTAAGACTGTGCACTTCCACTGCAGTGGGCATGGGTTTGGTCCCTGGTGGGGGAACTAAGATCCTGCATGCAGCATGGTGTAGCCAAAAAGAAAAAAATAAAAAAACCCAACAACTTCCCCAATCCTTCCTTGCTGGTATCCCCTTCCTGCCTCTGCACCACTCCAAGTATCACAGAAGTGCATTTGAACTACTGGCTATTAGGAAGGCCTGGTGCTGAATTAAAGAGCATTTGTTTACTCTTCTTGCTTGCCACCTGGGATGTCAAGTCATGAAATTATCATCTTTGGTTTTGAGGTACTCTAATGTTAAAAAAGATGCAGAAGAATTTGTGGTTGTAGCAAGAATAGAGAACTTATTGCAGAGAGGAAACAGGTAGTGTGTGTTGCATTTCATATTATAAGTCATTGTGATTCTATGGATGAACTGTGGGTAATGCAGTCTTCAGAAGAATCAATGAAACTATTAATTTAATTTTTAACATTTTAAAATATATTGGGCTTTAAAAAGATACACGTCTGTATGCATTTATTTTAGGACTTCAGGCTAAATAGTGATTCAAATTTAAATTTATACTGATGACATTTAGTACGTAGAAACATTTTGTCAAAGGTAATGAAATCTGCAAAAATTATTATATAAATGAGTACAAATTAAAAAGAAATATTAGGCAGTTACAATGGCAGCCTCTGTCAGTAATAGCACATCTACTATGTCATACAACAAGTTACTGATTTTAAACTTTTCAACACTTTTGGAGTTTTGATTTTGGAGAGTAAATGATTATTGAAAAAATTAAGACTAATACTAAAAAAGCTGTCTTTTATTTGGACTTCATTGCCAATGTAACTTAAACACTAATAATACATTCCATATAATTTCAGTTGAGGGAAACTTGTTTGGTTTACTCTGCAAATAGTTGGAATTAATCTGATGTTGGATTCTAAATTCTCATTTTTATTAGAGAGTAATAATCTCATGGTTTATATCTCTAAATTTCGACAACTGTATTTTAAAGTTTCTTATTTTCCCCCCTCATCAAACAGCTTTAATGTTATATTTGCTGGTGGTCCAGAAGAAGTTCTAAAAAAGTTTCAAAAGTCAAACCACAAAGTGGTCTTTGCAGCTGATGGAGTTCTGTGGCCAGATAAAAGATTAGCAGACAAGTATCCCATTGTGCACATTGGGAAACGCTACCTGAATTCAGGAGGTGAGTAAGATACTGGAAGAAAAGTATAATGCAAGCCATGGATTAAAATATTGATGAGACCACCTTTAAAAAAAATATAACTATAGATATGTTTTAAATAACCATTATCTTCTTATTACTATGGAAAAATTGTATCTGTTTAAATTCACAGTGCATTTTATAGTTGACAAAACATTTTCTCATCTATTATATGATGCTCCTAAAAACACTAGTAATGGGTTATTACTAGGGTAAATGTTATTTATGTGTAAATGTTATTATTTCTACATTATAAGTGAGAAAACCGTGTTTACCTAATTTAAGTGACTTTTCCAATAGGCATTCATTTATTAAAGGAAAAACTACAGGGATTCTGGTTTTCTGACTATAATTTCATTAAGAATTTTCTGGCTCTAGGTTAACAGGCTTAGTAAATTCCCTTACTTAGGAAAAAGTGCAAGCTACACTTGAGTAGCTTTAACAAATAGGCATTAACTTTATCTATATTTTAAACAAATGGCCTGGTGACTCAGATGGTAGAGAATCTGCCTGCCAATGCAGGAGATCCAGGTTTGACCCCGGGGTCAGGAAGATCCCCTGGAGAAGGGCATGGCAACCCACTCCAGTATTCTTGCCTGGAGAATTCCATGGACAGAAGAGCCTGGTGGGCTATAGTCCATGGGGTTGCAAAGAGTCAGACACAACTGAGCGACTAACATTTTGGCTTTCTTTCACTTTTACTTTCTTATTTTAAATATATTGGAGTAAATGATTTGTCTTGAAATCCCTAGTCAAAAAGATTCAACATTGAGTGCCTAGGTGAACTTAAAGTACTGCTTTAGCTATACCACTATGAATTAAGAAATAAATGATCAAGTTTCCCCCTCCCAATCAAACAATAAAGTGAAGTTTGACTTTAGACATTATTTTATTTCTTTAGACTGAAATTAATATAAAAATATGGCCAGAAAACATGGATATAGGACAGGTAACTTGTCAGAGAAACTATGTTGGGTGGAAATTGCAAGCCACACTGGGAAAACAGATTTAATTGTAAATTACATAAAATAACTGATTGTATTCAGGCCAGTTCAAATAAGTGCTGTTTGAGATAGTAGATCTGGGTTCTAGACTTCACTCAGTTACTTTTGTATATGAAACTTTTGACAAGTAACTTAGTTACAGTTCTACTCACCTGCATTTTCTTTTAGAAACCCATTTCCATGGTGATTCTTTGGAACTCCGTCAGCCCATATAAATTTGCTCTTCTGAAACCTTAAATCTTAGTGTGTACTGCCAAGTTTCAGCTCACTTTTTTTCTCTTCAGTACATTTTTTGTTCATGGTTTGGGGGATCTCCTAACCATTTTCTTTTTCTCCTAACTTACCTACCATCTTTGGGTTTTACTTCAACATTCAAGTCAGAACCTAGGGTTTCTCATATTGTTCACATTGTCCTCTTAGATTTACAGTAAAGATGGCTGCCTGCTCTTGACTTCTCTGTTTGGGCAATTTTAAATGAGAATGAGAGCTCCATTTGCTCCCAACTGTCAGACCCTCAGTGACACATGGCTTATTTTTTACCCTAAGTCCTAGATAAATTAAAAGCCACCTAGCTATGGAATTCTGGGATGAGTTTTACTTTGTATTTATCAGTTTTTCTAAAAATGACATGCTTAGTGAAACATAATATATGTAAAATCTAGATAGTGAAATATTTACTCGAAAATCTAAATTTCAAACAGAGGCACAGTACTTTGGAAACAGCAAAACTAGTGAGTGCCTTTGAGAGCAAGTTTAATTAAGGAGAATGTGTTTATAAGTGAGAAACTGATCATGTGCTGCTGCTGCTGCTGCTAAGTTGCTTCAGTCCTGCCGGACTCCGTACGACCTTATAGACAGCAGCCCACCAGGCTCCCCTGTCCACGGGATTCTCCAGGCAAGGATACTGGAGTGGATTGCCATTTCCTTCTCCAATGCATGCATAAGTCACTTCAATCATGTCTGACTCTGTGTGACCCCAATGGACAGTGGCCCACAGGCCCCTCTGACCAAGGGATTCCCCAGGCAAGAATACTGGAGTGGGTTTCCATTACCGGCTCCAGGGGATCTTCCTGACTCAGGGATCGAACCCAGGTATCCTGCCTTGCAGGCAAATTCTTTACCATCTGAGCTACCAGGGAAGCCTTAAAGTGATCAGACAGATGTATCAGAACATCATCCTTATTCTTTCTGTAGTCAGAATAATTAAAGAAATGCTAGAAAATCTAAGTATGTTCAATAAAGTTTATGTAAATTTATGAATTATATAGAGAGTTATTTAAGAGATATGAATTTTGTTTGTGTGTACCTCATTTAGTTAAAAAAATCATCATGGAGAGTAAACATGTTTCCTTATGAGGAAAATGGTGGAATATTAGAAACTTTACTCTTCTGAAATAGTATGGCAGTTTAATAGAAAAATGTAAACCATAAACTACATATCACATGCTATGAAAATAAAAGTAGTTCCTTCTCATTTTTAAGGACATTTGTAATTTATAAAAAGGATAAGGAAACATAATTTTTGAAAAACAGTAATATAAACCATTGGAAAATGTCATATGTTGCTGCTTAGACATGTTTTATTAATCACAGATTTGTTTTAAGAGTTAAAAAATATATATTTTTCAGTGTTTTAGGATTTTTCTAATTTGGCAAAAATGAGGAAAAAATGAGCCACGAGTGATTGATTTAGTCATGTTTTCATTTTGTCTTGTTTTCTCTAGTTAATATTCCTGCCTATTTCTTTTAATTCTTTTATTACTATGAGAACATTTTAATTTTGAGGATAATAAGTTAGATTTCTTTTCAATTCTCAGGAGTGAAATTGCTCCTTGTTAAAAAGTATTGCATATCAATGAAACATAGCAGTTTGGCTGCATTTCTGAAATTCAGAGGAAGACTCAAACACAGGGAAAAATGATCCTGTTGTCTGTGTCTTTTATAGACAACTGTTGTTGGCATATTTAATCCTTGTGCTCTAAGGCCAAGGTAAAAAATCCAATTTTAGACTTCCTTTTTCCAGACCATGACAAAACCTAGCCATAAAATGGTTTAGCAGACATAGTAATGACTAGCTCAGTGAAGGAAAAATTCTCAAAATGTCCTAGATATAAAATTTCTTTGGGATGTTTGCAGTCAGTGACAAATCCAACATTCTTTTGATTGCGTTAACATCTCTGGCACTGACATCAAAACCACTGTAGTAGAGGTCCCCCCCACCCCCCAGAAACAGTGAATCTTTTACATAGGATCTAAGAACAGCATTTCAGAAGAAAGAAAATTCTTCTAATTCTGACTTTTTCCTAGTAACATTTTTTTCCCCTGACATGTGTTTGAAAATATTAGTTCCCTCTCTTGTATCAATTAATTTGGGGAGATGGGTTGAATGGATGGGGTGTAGTAGCATGGAAACATATACACTGCCATATGTAAAATAGATAGCTAGTGAGAATTTGCTGTATGACTCAGGGAACTCAAACTGTGGCTCTGTGACAACCTAGAGGGGTTGGATGGAGTAGGAGGTGGGAGGGAAGTTCAAGAGGGAGGGGACATATGTATACCTATGGCTGATTCATGTTGATGTATGGCAGAAACCAATACAATATTGTAAAGCAGTTCTCCTTTAATTAAAAATAAATAAATTAAAAAATTAATTTGGGGAATGTGTTTATTCAAAGACAGTCTTTTATTTGCACTGGGTAGTAAAAACTTTTTTTTTTTCCATTTATTTTTATTAGTTGGAGGCTAATTACTTTACAACATTGCAGTGGTTTTTGTCATACATTGAAATGAATTAGCCATGGGTTTACATGTATTCCCCATCCCGGTCCCCCCTCCCACCTCCCTCTCCACCCGATCCCTCTGGGTCTTCCCAGTGCACCAGGCCCGAGCACTTGTCTCATGCATCCAACCTGGGCTGGTGATCTGTTTCACCCTAGATATACATGTTTCAATGCTGTTTTCTTGAAACATCCCACCCTCGCCTTCTCCCACAGAGTCCGAAAGTCTGTTCTATACATCTGAGTCTCTTTTTCTTTTTTTGCATATAGGGTTATCGTTACCATCTTTCTAAATTCCATATATATGTGTTAGTATACTGTAATGGTCTTTATCTTTCTGGCTTACTTCGCTCTGTATAATGGGCTCCAGTTTCATCCATCTCATTAGAACTGATTCAAATGAATTCTTTTTAATGGCTGAGTAATATTCCATGGTGTATATGTACCACAGCTTCCTCATCCATTCGTCTGCTGATGGGCATCTAGGTTGTTTCCATGTCCTGCCTATTATAAACAGTGCTTTTCTATTTGAATTTATATATAAAACAAAGGACACTCAATAACTCATATTTCTCTCATGGTGAGCTGTGAAATTCTAAACTATGGATTATAATAGCTTCACAGATCTATGCAACTGGTCTATGAAATTAACACAGACATGAGTTTTGGTCTTTGAATTCTAAATCCTCTATTCATTCTCTTCTCTATTGCAGGATTTATTGGTTATGCTCCTTATATCAACCACATAGTTCAACAGTGGAATCTCCAGGATAATGATGATGATCAGTTATTTTACACTAAAATTTACATTGATCCACTGAAGAGGGTAGGTAATAGCTCTCTCTTTCAATTTAATATCTGGGTTCAAGTGGCTACTGGCACTCCAGTCATTGCATCCATATTCTGGGCAATTTTACAGGGAGAATAATAAATAAGGGGCCATCTCAATTGTGTCAACTCTAAGGAGCCTATCTGGAAGTCTCACAAAATACTTTCTTATATTTTTCTTTGATTAGAACATATTTGTTTGGCTACCCATAATATGGAAAGGGTTTCCCTGGTGGTTCAGTCAGTAAAGAATCTGCCTTCCAGTACAGGAAACCGAGGTTAGATCCCTGAGTCAGCAAGATCCCTGGAGAAAGAAATGGCAACCCATTCCACTGTTCTTGCCTGGGAAATCCCATGGACAGAGGAGCCTAGTGGGCTACAGTCCATGGGGTTGCCAGTGTCGGACATGACTTAGCGACTAAACCACACACCACACCATATCACAAAATGCAGAGGAGTTTTTTTCTTTATTTCAAGCACATGTGTTCTACTAAAAATCTGAATTCTCTTATTAAGGGGAAGAATGTTGGGAACAAGAGCACTTTGCCTTAAACCCTAAGGACAATATTCCTGAGATTGATTTAAATGGAACATTGGAGAAAAGTAAAAACAAAGTTCTTTAATTTGATACTATTTTCAGTATAATTACCTATAAGTTAATGTTCCATAAGTTTATTTTGTATAATCAATACAGTTATAAAATTTATTCAATTGTGTGTTTCAGGGTACTGTCATTAGGAAACAAGTGTTTTTTTTTAAGTATATTTTATTTTATTTTCCATTTATTTTTATTAGTTGGAGGCTAATTAATTTATAATATTGTAGTGGTTTTTGTCATACATTGACATGAATCAGCCATGGATTTACATGTATTCCCCATCCCTATCCACCCTCCCACCTCCCTCTCCACCCGATTCCTCTGGGTCTTCCCAGTGCACCAGGCCTGAGCACTTGTCTCATGCATACAACCTGGGCTGGTGATCTGTTTCACCCTAGATAATATACATGGTTCGATGCTGTTCTCTCGAAACATCCCACCCTCGCCTTCTCCCACAGAGTCCAAAAGTCTGTTCTGTACATATATGTCTCTTTTTCAGTTTTGCATATAGAGTTATCGTTGCCATCTTTCTAAATTCCATATATATGTGTTAGTATACTGTATTGGTCTTTATCTTTCTGGCTTACTTCACTCTGTATAATGGGCTCCAGTTTCATCCATTTTATTAGAAATGATTCAAATGAATTCTTTTTAATGGCTGAGTAATATTCCCCATGGTGTATATGTACCACAGCTTTCTTATCCATTCGTCTGCTGATGGGCATCTAGGTTGCCTCCATGTCCTGGCTATTATAAACAGTGATGCGATGAACATTGGGGTGCACGTGTCTCTTTCAGATCTGGTTTCCTCAGTGTGGGATTGCTGGGCCATATGGCAGTTCTAATTCCAGTTTTTTAAGAAATCTCCACACTGTTCTCCATAGTGGCTGTACTACTTTGCAGTCCCCCCAACAGTGTAAGAGGGTTCCCTTTTCTCCACACCCTCTCCAGCATTTATTTCTTGTAGACTTTTGGATAGCAGCCATCCTGACTGGTGTGTAATGGTACCTCATTGTGGTTTTGATTTGCATTTCTCTGATAATGAGTGATGTTGAACATCTTTTCATCTGTTTGTTAGCTATGTGTATGTCTTCTTTGGAGACAAGTCTGTTTAGTTCTTTGGCCCATTTTTTGATTGGGTCATTAATTTTTCTGGAATTGAGCTGCAGGAGTTGCTTATATATATTTGAGATTAATCCTTTGTCTGTTGCTTCATTTCCTGTTATTTTCTCCCAATCTGAGGGCTGTCTTTTCACCTTGCTTATAGTTTCCTTTGTTGTGCAAAAGCTTTTAAGTTTGATTAGGTCCCATTTGTTTACTTTTGCTTTTATTTCCAATATTCTGGGAGGTGGGTCATAGAGGATCCTGCTGTGATTTATGTCAGAGAGTGTTTTGCCTATGTTCTCCTCTAGTTTTATAGTTTCTAGTCTTACATTTAGATCTTTAATCCATTTTGAGTTTATTTTTGTGTAAGGTGTTAGAAAGTGTTCTAGTTTCATTCTTTTACAAGTGGTTGACCAGTTTTCCCAGCACCACTTGTTAAAGAGGTTGCCTTTTTTCCATTGTATATTCTTGCCTCCTTTGTCGAAGATAAGGTGTCCATAGGTTCATGAATTTATCTCTGAGCTTTCTATTTTGTTCCAATGATCTATATTTCTGTCTTTGTGCCAGTACCATACTCTCTTGATGACTGTGGCCTTGTAGTATAGTCTGAAGTCAGGCAGGTTGATTCCTTCAGTTCCATTCTTCTTTTTCAAGGTTACTTTGGCTATTCGAGGTTTTTTCTATTTCCGTACAAATTGTGAAATTATTTGTTCTAGTTTTCTGAAAAATACTGTTGGTAGCTTGATAGAGATTGCATTGAATCTATAGATTGCCTTGGGTTGTATAGCCATTTTGACAATATTGATTCTTCCAATCCACGAAGATGGTATATTTCTCCATCTGTTTGTGTCTTCTTTGATTTCTTTCATCAGTGTTTGATAGTTTTCTATGTATAGGTCTTTGTTTCTTTAAGTAGATATATTCCTAAGTATTTTATTCTGTTTGTTGCAATGGTGAATGGTATTGTTTCCTTAATTTCTCTTTCTGTTTTCTCATTGTTAGTGTATAGGAATGCAAGGGATTTCTGTGTGTTAATTTTATATCCTGCAATTTTACTATATTCGTTGATTAGCTCTAGTAATTTTCTGATAGAGTCTTTAGGGTTTTCTATGTAGAGGATCATGTCATCTGCAAACAGTGAGAGTTTCACTTCTTGTTTTCCTATCTGGGCTCCTTTTACTTCTTTTTCTCTCTGATTGCTGTGGCCGAAACTTCTAAAACTATGTTGAATAGTAGTGGTGAGAGTGGGCACCCTTGTCTTGTTCCTGATTTCAGGGGAAATGCTTTCAGTTTTTCACTACTGAGGGTAATGCTTGCTGTGGGTTTGTCATATATAGCTTTTATTATGTTGAGGTATGTTCCTTCTATTCCTGCTTTCTGGAGAGTTTTAATCATAAATGGGTGTTGAATTTTTTCAAAGGCTTTTTCTGCATCTATTGAGACAATCATATGGTTTTTATCTTTCAATTTGTTAATGTGGTGTATTATATTGATTGATTTGCAGATATTAAAGAATCCTTGCATTCCTGGGATAAAGCCCACTTGGTCATGGTGTATGATTTTTTTAATATGTTGTTGGATTCTGTTTGCTAGAATTTTGTTAAGGATTTTTGCATCTATGTTCATCAGTGATATTGGCCTGTACTTTTCTTTTTTTGTGGCATCTTTGTCTGGTTTTGGAATTAGGGTGATGGTGGCCTCATAGAATGAGTTTGGAAGTTTGCCTTCTTCAGCAATTTTCTGGAAGAGTTTGAGTAAGATAGGTGTTAGCTCTTCTCTAAATTTTTGGTAGAATTCAGCTGTGAAGCCATCTGGTCCTGGACTTTTGTTTCCTGGAAGATTTCTGATTACAGTTTCGATTTCCGTGCTTGTGATGGGTTTGTTAAGATCTTCTATTTCTTCCTGGTTCAGTTTTGGAAAGTTATACTTTTCTAAGAATTTGTCCATTTCTTCCAAGTTGTCCATTGTATTGGCATAGAGCTGCTGGTAGTAGTCTCATGATCCTTTGTATTTCTGTGTTGTCTGTTGTGATCTCTCCATTTTCACTTCTAATTTTGTTAATTTGGTTCTTCTCCCTTTGTTTCTTAATGAGTCTTGCTAACGGTTTGTCAATTTTGTTTATTTTTTCAAAAAACCAGCTTTTAGCTTTGTTGATTTTTGCTATGGTCTCTTTAGTTTCTTTTGCATTTATTTCTGCCCTAATTTTTAAGATTTCTTTCCTTCTACTAACCCTGGGGTTCTTCATTTCTTCCTTTTCTAGTTGCTTTAGGTGTAGAGTTAGGTTATTTATTTGACTTTTTTCTTGTTTCTTGAGGTAAGCCTGTAATGCTATGAACCTTCCCCTTAGCACTGCTTTTACAGTGTCCCATAGGTTTTGGGTTGTTGTGTTTTCATTTTCATTCATTTCTATGCATATTTTGATTTGTTCTATGATTTGTTGGTTATTCAGAAGCATGTTATTTAGCCTCCATATGTTTCTATTTTCAATATTTTTTTCCTGTAATTGAGATCTAATCTTACTGCACTGTGGTCAGAAAGGATGACTGGAGTTATTTCAATTTTTTTGAATTTACTGAGGCTAGATATATGGCCAAGGATGTGATCTATTCTGGAGAAGGTTCCGTGTGCACTTGAGAAAAACGTGAAGTTGATTGTTTTGGGGTCAAATGTCCTATAGATATCAATTAGGTCTAGCTGGTCCATTGTGTCATTTAAAGTTTGTGTTTCTTTGTTAATTTTCTGTTTAGTTGATCTATCCATAGGTGTGAGTGGGCTATTAAAGTCTCCCACTATTATTGTGTTACTATCAATTTCCTCTTTCATACTCATTAGCATTTGCCTTACATATTGTGTGCTCCTATGTTGGGTGCATATTTATTTATAATTTTTATATCTTCTTCTTGGATTGATCCTTTGATCATTATGTAGTGTCCTTCTTTGTCTCTTTTCACAGCCTTTATTTTAAAGTCTATTTTATCTGATATGAGTATTGTGACTCCTGCTTTCTTTTGGTCTCCATTTGCATGAAATATTTTTTTCCAGCCCTTCACTTTTAGTCTGCATGTGTCCCTCTTTTTGAGGTGGGTCTCTTGTAGACAGCATATATAGGGGTCTTGTTTTCGTATCCATTCAGCCAGCCTTTGTCTTTTGGTTGGGGCATTCAACCCATTTACATTTAGGGTAATTATTGATAGCTGTGGTCCCATTGTCATTTACTTTGTTGTTTTGGGTTCACGTTTATACAACCTTTCTGTGTTTCCTGTCTAGAGAAGATCCTTTAGCATTTGTTGAAGAGC